GTTGGCCTCAAATTCAAGAGATCCATCCAGCTGCCTCTGCCAGTGCTGGGACTAAAGGTGTGCGTCACCATCTGGGGCTGTATGAAAGTCAGTTCAGTATCTGTGCTTTGATATTTACCTATGCTTTAATATTTGACACTACCTCTACAAACTTACTATTTGCCCAGTTTCTGAGCTCCCAAAAATTCTCTTAATCTCAAACCCCTGAGCTTGCTTCTTCCCGCTTTGAATCCTATTCTGCACCTATAATACAGAATAGAACAGGCCAGCAACTGCCATTGAGACTTAAAAAAAAAAAACAAGTTTAAAATTAAATGCCAGAGAGCTGGGAGTAATCTCAGCACTCAGGAGGCAGGGGCAGGAGGATCTCTGTGAGTTTAAGGCCAGCCTCATCTACACAGTAAACACCAAGACAGCCAGGACTATACAGAGAAGACGCTGAGCCTCAAAATGCCAATAACAATAACAACCTTTATTAAATTATTATTAAATATATACAATTAAACAAACGAAAGCTGGGTGTGGTAGCATCCACCTGTAATCCTAGCATTCAGGAAACCGAAGCCTGAGTAAGGCAAAGGGAGGGTTGGTCAAAGGTCACCGTGAGGAACCATAAGTTACTAAGGTTTCTATTTCCACCTTGTTCTTATATTTTGGCTTTTTAAAATATAACTGATATAAGGTTTTTTTTTAATTGGCATGGCCTCACTGTTGCCTAGCTGTTCTTAAAATCTCAAACTCAAGAGATCCTTCTGCAAAAAAACAATAAAAGAAACAAAACAAAAAACCTAGATCCTTATGCTTCCGCATCCAGAACAGCTATTATGACATGACCATGCTGGCCTAAGTTACACAGCAAGACCTTGCCACAAAAAGCAAACTAAAAATCTAAGCACCCGGAGGCACAGACAAGACAGATATGTGAGTTTAAGGCCAGCCTGATCTACAGAGGGAGTTTCAGGACAGCTAGGGCTACTCAGAGAAACCCTGTCTCAATAAAATAAAATAATTAAAAGTGTAATTAATTAAGAATCTTTGGAGTCAAGGAGTTCAAATCTGTACAAATAGGTATAGAATAAGGCTTACACTTTGAAACCCTTCTTTGACCCAGGAATTGTTCACAACATAATCCTGAATGAGAAAGAAGTACTGACTAACACGGCCCCAGACTTCTGTCCCACCTCAAACTCTACATTTTCTAGAACATGCCTTTTTAATTTTAAATATCCAAAACCACCCTTTTAATGTTCTGTATTAAACAGAATAAACATATTTTGTGAAAAACAAAACAAACATGGAGATGCTGAGTCAGAGTGGAAATAAAGCCAAGACCAAAGAAAAGTCCCATGACATCCAATTCAGGGTATTTCCCACTGTATATGATTATTTATTATGTTCGATACTAATCTCTCATTTTCTAACTCTGTTTGTCTTCTTAAATGGACATGCACACTGTCCTTAAACAATGCTAACAGCTTACATAACACTATTAACAGATTACTCCAGAGATCAACTTTCGAATTGACAGCTTATTATAATCTCCCTGCCTCAAAATAACAAGGGTACTTTACCATATTCATCTTTTAGTGCTTTTTTCTGAGATGGGAGCTCTCAATATGCAGCCTAGGCTGTCCTGGAAAACGTTACCTTCCTGTCTCAATTTGCCAAGTATAAAAATTCCAAATGTGTATCACTGTACGTAGTATCTACTCATCTTTAGACCCCTACCACAACTTACTACTAGACTTAACTATTAGATCAAGCAAAACCAGTGAAATCTCATGGTTACATTTAGAGTCTCCAATCATTAAATACAGAGAATATGCTAAATAGATTAATGTACAAAATTAAAGTTAAGCCGGGCAGTGGTGGCGCACGTCTTTAATCCCAGCACTTGGGAGGCAGAGGCAAGTGGATTTCTGAGTTCGAGGCCAGCCTGGTCTACAGAGTGAGTTCCAGGACAGCCAGGGCTACACAGAGAAATCCTGCCTCAAAAAAAAAAAAAAAAGAAAGAAAGTTAAGGGGGACATTTATGCCAAAATTCTAAGTGTTATACTGAATTAACTGGCACATTAAGTAGAATGCTTGCCCACTAAAATATGTCTGACTAACTTTTAGCTTGCATTACTTTGTTACCTTAGTTGGTCTCATTGAATGAACTAGAAAGCAATACAATTGCCAGGCAGTAGTGGTGCACGCCTTTAATCCCAGCACTTGGGAGGCAGAGAGGCAGGTGGATTTCTGAGTTTGAGGCCAGCCTGGTCTACAGAGTGAGTTCCAGGACAGCCAGGACTACACAGAGAAACCCTGTCTCGAAAAACCAAAAAAAAAAAAAAAAAAAAAAAAAAAAAAGCAATACAATTAACTGCAGGAGTTCTAGACTAGGACGGAGGCACCAGTCCAAAGTCTGCTAACATGAGCAATTCATTTTTTCACCTGAGTCTTCATTAGCCTAACAGAACTCAACACTGGTGATGTGTCCAGTCTTACTTTTTTTCCCTTTAGTGCTAGATACTGACTTCAGAGCCTAGTGTATACTATGCTGGACTGATATACACCCCTAAACCCTTAGAGGCTTTTACCTCCAACTCAAAACATTTACCATTTTTAAAACTGTATAACATGCATGAGGATAACAAGGGCACAGAAAGCAAACAGGTACCAAACGATGCCGTGCAATATAAAACTTTTATTTATTTATTTATTTTGTGGGGGCGAGGGGGGTGTTTCGAGACAGGGTTTCTTTGTATAGCCCTGGCTGTCCTGGAACTCACTCTGTAGACCAGGCTGGCCTGAAACTCAGAAATCCGCCTGCCTCTGCTTCCCAAGTGCTGGGATTAAAGGCATGCACCACCACCGCCCAGCTGATATGATTTTCTTTAAGCAATACAATATTCGTATACATATAGCAACAAGCCGGGCAGTTTTATTGATTCTGATTCTGCTTGTACAGGATATGACGTAGTCCAAGCTGCCTTTGAACTCTTCATCCTCTTCCTACCAAATGGACAGGTTACTACAAGTGTGAGCCCTGCCTCTGTTTTATTATTTTATGTGTAGGGGTATTTTGCCTGCATGCATATATCTGTACCACATGCATGCAGTATCCATGGAAGCCAAAAGCAGCACTGGATCCTCTGGGACTGGAGCTGCAGGCCATGATACTGTGTGAGTGCTGGGAACAGAACCCGTGTCCTCTGAAAGAGCAGCCAGGCCACTTAATCATCTGTCCAACCCAACTTTGCTTTTGAGGCAGGGTCTCACTACATAGCCTGGGCTGACTTGAATTTGCAATTTTCCTGCACTGACTCCACAGTGTTGGGATTACAGGTAAGAGCCACCACATCTAGCTTTCCTCTTCTCTTCTACTGGCATATGTATATTCATTGTACAAAATACTGGGTTATGTTAGTGTCACAAATTACATAATGTATTCTGATCAACTTTTCTTTGACATGCTCAAAAACCCAGAGCCCTCCCTGTACATGGTAAGCAAGTACTTACTGTACCACACTGAGCTATATACACCAATATAATCTTTACATGCATAACCTTTTTAAAAAATAGTGTTAATCCAAAAGGTTCTGTGAGTCAGATTTATCTATATGCTAAACTTAATATCTGAATTCCATAGTTTTCTATTCTATTTGATAATCAGGAAGCTTATCATATTTTTTTTAAAAATGAAGACCAACCTTTTTACCATTTCACATGAATACAGAACAATAGAAAAAGGCCAAAAGAGAAACATAAATACTCAAGTATTCAAGCCTGTTCTGTTAAAGACAACATAAGCCACACCAGATTTTACAATAAAAATTATTGACAAATGGATGTTCATAAGTACCAATTGCAAACAGTTATGTTGATATACATCTATATCAGCTTTAAAACCTTTTGGAATAAAATCAAGCTTGTTTATAATAAAATATTCAAACATATAAGGCACAGGAGAAAAGCAAAGTTTTTCATCCCTCTTCTTCAGAAGTGACCAGGGTTACCATTTCTTTTTTCTGTGTCTCTTTCGAGGATCTATGTGACCCAATCCAAATAGATATAAGCTTATGTTTTTGTGTCTGTAGGTATAAATCTATGTGGCCTAAAATGTTTTCCATTCTTAATGGGGTGGGGGGTAAACAATCCCAGGTACATGTTCAGTACACTGAAAATGGTGCAGACATTGAGACAAAGTAGTATTATGCTATGCGGAAATGTTAAATACACTTAGATTTTTGTTTAGAGGTTATATGAAGCAACAGGAGTAGGGGCGGCCAGGGAGCCAGACAATCTGAGTTCTAACCTAACTAGCACAGTAACTTTAGACAAGTTATGAAACCCTGGGTCTTAGTTTCTGCTTTGTAAAACAAAAGAGTTGAGCTGAGATCCTTCCCAACTCAAAAATGATATAATTCTATGATGGTTGGCTCTTAACAGTGTTCTCTTGAACTGGCTACAAAAAAAAAGTCCTATTAAGGAGAAAATGAGAAGAAAGAAGAAACACTATAGCACTTTCCAGTCTAAAAAAAAAAGTACATTTCTATGATTCGTTCACTATCAAGGTACAGATGGGATGTCAGAAGTAGTGCTATCATTGTACTTGAAGGCAAAGTAGATTATTAAAATCTGAGAGGTTTGTTTCGCCCAAGGCTTGTGTTTTCCTTTTTGGAGATAGAGAGCCACTGCTTAGCTTCAGCAATCACCACTCCCCTTGCTTAAAAGAAAAACACCCTACAACTCAAGTAAACTGTGGCGTTAAAGTAAAGAAATGAAAGTCAAAAGTGACATTTTTGCTTTCAGAAATATGCTGGGGAAGTGACCAAGGTGACAAAGAGAGGCAAAATGACCAGTTACTTCCTCCTCTGGAAGCTCTTAGGCCCTCATTCTTTTGGGTTCACATGCCCTTGCCAGAAACACACCACCCTGCCCCATACAAGGCATCAGATTGGGGGGCAGGGAGGTTAATCGTATCTTTTCTTTTTTAATTATTTAACTAGATTTACCTTAGGTGTCACGAAGTTTAAGGAGGCTGACTCGAAGGCTTGAAGCCAGCAACCCTACCCACAGCTTCCGGGGCAATCCCGGGAACCTGGACAAGGAGCCCAGTTCAGCATTCCCCGAGGGCGGGCGCGGCCTTCCCGCCCAACTAGGCAGAGCTAGCCCAAGCAGAAGGGAGGGGGGAAGAAAAGGAGGGAAAAGAAAAGGAGGGAGGGAAGGGGAGAAGGAAGGAGGAGGAGGAGGGATGCGGGAGGGGGAGGAGGAGGGAGGGGAGAGAAGAGGAGAGAGGAGAGGAGAGATGGGGAGGGGAGGGGAAGGGAGAAGAGAGGAGCAGAGGGAGAGGAGGAGAGGGCGGGAAACCCACAAGAGCTGTACCCACCGCGCCAAGCAATCCCGTCCTAACTAACCGCTGCGGGCGACGGTTCCCGAGGGGAGGGTCCCGGAGGAGGGGCTGCCCGAGCCCGGATCAGGAAAACACAAGTCTGCTGGGCGGCGGGCCCCGGCCTAGGAGAAGGAAACGGAAGTCACTATGTTTGTCTCCCTCCCTCCCTCCCTCGGCCTTCCCAGGCAGGACAGTCCCGTCTGAGAAAACTCGAAGACCGGAACCAAGTGCATCCACGTCAGGACTTTAAAAAAAAAAAAACCCAACCGATGCAGTCGGCCAGCTTCCCGGGCTCGCCCAGCCACTGGGCTCAGGCCATGTCCTTCCCCCCTCCACCCCCCCTCCCGGAGCTCTGCTCCCGCCCGGCAGAGCCCCTCCTTCTTTCCCACTCCGCCATCTTCCAACATACCTCTCAGGCCGAGCAGCCTCGATTAGCCTCGCTCCCGCTCGGGGACCGCTAAGGTCCCGCCGCCTCCCGGAGCCGGAAAGGGGCATCGAAAAAAACCCCAGCCCCCCTCATTATGCAGCCCGACCACCCCCCCACCCCCCACCCCCGCCTCCCCAGCTCCAAGCCAGAGCCTGACCCAGCGGCTGCACATGCGCACAGGTCACTTCGCAGTCCCCGCCCCCGACTCAAGCATTTCCTCCTTTAGCATCCAGGACTTTTTTCCACCCCCCCCCGCCCCCCTCCGCCCCCAGCTTTTACCTGGACTCTATGGTGAGGAGTAGGGGAATACAGGTAAGAAGATTAAAAATCGAGGGGGGAAAGGTAACAGTACATTGAGTTCTCACTGGATACCAGAGACTCTGCTAGGTATATAGCATATTCCTTGCTGTTATTTTGAAAACCCTGGAAGGCAGGACACCTCTATTAAATTCCACCCTACAGCAGAAACTAAGACCCGGAGAAAACAATTATCCCAGTATCACCCGCCCGACAAAAAACGTAAACTGAGATTAGAGAATCAGTTGTTTCCAAGTAGAGGAAGATTGAAGGAATGACAAGAAAGGGAGACTAAAAGAGAGTGAGAGATCATTTGTGAAGAACAAAGAGAAATAATAGAACAAAGATGGAAAAAACATACAAGAAGACTGTACACAAAATGGTGATCATGCTATCTGCTTGTAGGCTTGTCAGATAAACCTATAGAGTTAGGTTGCAGGAATTTCGACTCTTAATGGCTAGTGTACTAAAATGGATTGGGTATATTTAAAAGGAGAAGATCATGAGTACCATCTGCCTGATTAAATAATGCTGCCCTTGATGAAAAGGAACTTGGAAAAGAAGAAAAAAATATATTTGGTTCTTAAACTTTTGCTAACGTAATATTCCTTCTAATGCAATCTTTTAAAAAATTATTACATTGATTTACTGAGTGAGGTCAGAGGACAACTTAAGTCTGTTTTCTCCCAGCACGTGGGGTTCTAGGGAAGAACTAATGTCCTCAGACATGGTGGCAATGCCCTTACCCACTAAGCCATCTGTATCCCACGCCCTGGGGTGTGCTCGTATAGCTCTGAGAATTATATCTGACTTACTACAATGAAACTAATTTCAACCAAGGGCTGGTACTGTAACTCAGTAGTAGGTCACTTGTCCAGCACATGCAAGGTTGAATGCAAACCCCACCACTGCCAACAAAACAACTGCAAGCAATTGTTGATCTCACCTCTCAGAGCACTCTTAAATAGGTAAGCCAGTAAATCTCTGTCTTTTTCTCTTTAGATGAGAGTCTTACGAAGCCACCTTCAAATTTATCAACGGAAGGACCAGGAATTCAAGGTCATCCTCAATTGGAAGTTTGAGGCCAGCCTGAGATGCAAGGGACCCTGTCTCAAAAAAAAAAAATGTCTCAGGCTATCCTCGTTTGTTTTGATAAACCTCATTTAAAGGAGGCTGAAGTCAATTGTACTCTGTCTGTAGGAGCTGAATAGACTCAACCCCAGGTCTTCCTGGTTTGCTCAGTCTGATTTCTCTGTTCTTCAGCTTGCTCTCCCTCCCCCCAGTCTAGCTTGCGTACAGCTGAGTTAAATCTTTCCATTCTGACTTCAGGATAAGAGTTAAATCTTCTTAGCCTTAACTAAGTCCACTCTCATCCAAGATGAGATGTCTTCTAAGAGATGGTGTCTTCTCAGAGAACTATTTACCTTGCCCTGGCTCTTACCCTACCTTCTAGTAATTTATTGAAACTAGTTCCCCTTACCTGAAGATTATATTTTCTCAGTTTCTGTTATCTTTTATTCTTTAAACTTAAAATGTTTTTATAGAATCTTTATTATTGTTGTTTTTGGCTTTTTGTTGTTTTGGTTTTGGTTTTTTGTTTGTTTGTTTGTTTGTTTGTTTGTTTTTGAGACAGGGTCTTACTAAATAGCCCAGACTATGTCAGAAGTCATTGTCGCCGACTGCTGGGATTGCAAGCTCCATCTGTGTCACCTAGCTAGTACTGTTTGGCTTGGAATTTTTTGAATCAAGACCTTGTGTGTCCTAGGCTGACTGCAAACTTGGTATGTAACCAAGGATGACCTTGAATTCCTGTTCTTGCCTGAGAATTGAAAATGTTACACCATATCTGCTGAGACAAGGCCTTGCTATGTAGCCTTGTCTGGCTACATATTCCAAGCTGGGCTCATATTCATGGCAATCCTCTGCCTTAACCCCCTAAGTGCCAAGATGATCTTAAGCCACTACACCCAAACAGCTAACACTGTTTTTACTGTGAAATGTACATAAATTCACTCTTTTAGCCATTTTGTCTTAACCACTGTAAGTGAATGAAGATGAGGACATGACTACTCCAGAGGATGGTTAAGGAGAGAAAAGGATTTTATTGGAGAGTTCAGCTAGAAGCACCTGGAAAAATCCAGACTGAACCAGGCCATGAGAGGGGAAGAGGGAAAGAGGGAGAGAAGAGGAAAGAGGCAAGTGGACCAGAGAGGAGTCTGGGATCAAGAAAGGGCATGGTCAAAATGACAGCTTTATATAGGAATGAGAAGCAGGGGGAAGGGAAGGGGAAGGAAATCGAAGTCCACCCTCTGGACAGGAGAGGTTGAGAGTGAGAGTGGGTTGGGATGTGCTGGGAGGGGCCACAGGTACTGAGTGAGACTTGTCCTGAGTTTCTTTGTGACCTGATGTAAGTTCAGTGACATTGAGGACATTTCCACTATTGTGTAACCATCCCCACTGTCCAGTTTTAGCACTTTTTCATGTAACTCCATCATTAAAGTGAGTGCTTTGTTACAGTGCACAGTGTGCTGTGTCACACAATACAGCCGCTTGGATAAATGTCTAGGCTCTCGTATGGGGTACACTCACTCGTGGGGGGGAATCTATGTCCAAGTCATTTTTGGAAAACCACTGAGTCATCTTTTACGAGTTTTCCATTGATTCATGGGAGCACATGCCGTGTCATGTGTGTGGAGGTCAGAGGACAGCTTGCTGAGTGACCCTCCCCCCCTCATCCATTTTGGTTCTAGGGGTCAAACTCTGCCCCTTTACCCACTGCTCCCTCTCTCTAGCACTTTTTCCCCCAAGACAGAGTCTCATGAGTCTCAGATGGAGCTGGAACTTATCTTCTTTTTTTATTATTAATGTGGGTATGTGAGAGTCATAAGTCATAAGGCTTACACAGGGTATGGAGGTTAGAGGGCCTATTTCAGTAGTTAGTTTTTCACTTCACCCATCAGTTCCATGAATCACACTTAGGTTCCCAGGCGTATAAGATTGGATGCTTTTACCTGCTGAGCCACCTTCCAAGGCCAACTTTCACTTCCCTATTGCTGTTTGACTCTAGGTGTGCACCACCATGCCCAGTTTATGCTGCTCTGAGGATTGAATGCAGGGCTTTGTGCATACTAGGAAAGCGTGTCCAGAATACCACGGTTCTTGTCAATTTCACCAGCACTTCATCGAGCCCACCCCTCTCCTCCCATGCAGAACCTTCCTCATGGCTCTTCTCAATTCTCTTTCCATTTCATTCCCACAACAGCCAGTGATGCATGCACATAAACCACAATCCAGATCATCGTTTCTGTACAGATCCCTTCTCTGACTCTCCATTTCACTCAAAAAAAAAAAAAATTAACCAGATTTCTTATTACCACTAAAGATTATGGTGCCAGCCACCATAATGATGTCCAACAAACTTCATCTATCAGTAGTCACCAGTAGTCATGTGCTTGCATGTTTTTTTTTTTTGCATGGAATTAGGGCTTTTGTGACTGATAGAATACAGATGTAGCTGGGCAGTGGTGGCGCATGCTTTAAACCCAGCACTTGGGAGGCACAGGCAGGCAGATTTCTGAGTTTGAGGCTAGCCTGGACTACACAGAGAAACCCTGTCTCAAAAAAAGAAAAAAAGAGAGAGAGAGAGAGAGAGAGAGAGAGAGAGAGAGAGAGAGAGAGGAAGAAAGAAAGAAAGAAAGAAAGAAAGAAAGAAAGAAAGAAAGAAAGAAAGAAAGAAAGGACAGACAGAAAGAAAGGACAGACAGAAAGAAAGGACAGACAGAAAGAAAGGACAGACAGTTGGCATAGGTTTGTAGTCTAGTTCTTGGAGGTGGAGGTGGAAGCAGGAAGACCAGGATTTCAAGATCAGTCTTAGCTGCATAGGAAGCCAACCTGGGCTACCTATCTCAAACCCCACTCAAAAGGGAGAAAAAGAGAAAGGAAGGGAAGGGGGGCAAGAGAGCATCCCAGGATCCAAACAACCCTAATGAGGAGAAAATAAGTCCTAACCCTTTCTCATCTTTTCTCTCTCTGGACCAGCTAGCAACCACACCTTCCTGACCATGTAAGACACTTTGAAGAGGATTCTTCAGTTAGGTAACTATAATCTCTTGAGACTTGACATGTTGCTCAGTTGGTAAATTGCTTACCTAGCATGCATGAAGCTGAGTCTGATCTCCAGCACCACATAAATCTAGTGTGGTGGTACACACCTGTAACTCTATTACTTGAGAGGTATGGGCTCATGATTATCCTCAATGACATAGTGAATTTAAAGCCAGCTTTAGATATAGATACAGATGAGACTCTGTCTTAAAAAAAATAAATCAATAAACTCGGTGTGGTGGCATACAGCTTTAATCCCAGCACTTGGGAAGCAGAGACAGACAGATCTGAGATCAAGGCCAGCCTGGTCTACAAATAGAGTTCCAGGACATACAGGACTACACAGAGAAACCCTGTCTCAAAAACAATACAAAACAAAACAAAACAAAACAAAACAAAAAAGCAGACTAACTTTCCCAAACAAAACCATATAATCTCTTGAGAACCAAAGCTAGAACTATCCATATGAACCTCTCTCCTGAATTTGTGTGCAGTTTCTTTTTTCTTTCTCCTTTCTTTTGTATGTGGGCCAGACAACTTCAGGCTAGGTTTGACACAGCTAGAATCACCTGGGAAGATAACCTCAACTGAGAAAATGCCTCCATCATATTGGCACATAGGCAAATCTCTG